CTTTGACTGTTTTGATGATTTATCTACCTCAGATGGTTGCAGTGTTTCTACTCCAGAAAGTCAGTGCTCGGCAACAAATACTTTACAGGCTATTATTTATTTATTGTCATATGTATTTAACACAAATCTTAAAGGGCTTCTACCAGATTGTCCATAAAACATTAGAATTTCCTTTGCTTAATGGAGACAATCCAAACTAAATAGGATTTATAGAATTGGCCTCTCTTTAAAACTTCGGTAGTGTATAGACTTCAGTGATACTGATGTATACTAAACTAGTGTATAGACTTCAATGGTACTAATAAATACAGAAAATAACTAAAAGTTTTTTTTTAATTCTGAAAAAGATTTTAAATGTATTGGCAAATGGCAGGAAGGGGGAGGGAAGATAGGGGAAGGTAGGTTTCCCAGAAACATTTAATCTACTGAAAAATCACTTGGCTTTGCATGATTTTAGGATTGCATCATAACAATTTAAGAAGTAGTGTGCCTGAGTAGTCTGCCCATATAAAGAACATATGTTTAATAGTGCCTGTATAACTCTGGACAAACCATTTGATCACTTATGTATCCTAGGGTCTTCCATAAAATTGGCTCATTAGGAAAAACTGCTCACTGTTTAGGAAAAGCTTAGATATTAGAAGAGTCATGTGAGATTGACTGTTTTTTAAAAAAGGAGTGGGCAAAAGGTTTGAAAACTTGGTACCAGTTCTGCATGAGTGTGAACCTTTTCTTGTTTCTGGAGAAGCTTTAACCTGGAGAAGAAGAAACTGATTGAGTTTAAAAGATAGTAATTTAGAAATAACTTCATTACCTTTTTTTTTTCAGAAGAATAAATATATGTTTAATCCACACTTAAAGAATGGGGAACATGAAACTTTCATAAGTATGTAATACAAAATCTATTTTAGTTCAACATTATGTCCAGTCACATCAGAAAGAGACAACAGGAAAATGTAGAAAATAGAGACTGAGATCAAGGAAGAGAAAATGAGAGGTGGAAGGGAGTGAGGGGGCACTGGTTGTGGTTGGCTGCCTTCAGAAGCTCCTCTCTTTTTCTCTACTGCATCAGAATCTTTCCAGACACTGAACTGAGCATGGTGGCTCATGCCTGTAATCCCAGCACTTTGGGAGGCTGAAGTGGGCAGATCACTTCAGGCCAGGAGTTGGAGACCAGCCTAGCCAACATGGTGAAATCCCATCTTTACCAAAAAATACAAAAATTAGCTGGGTTTGGTGGTATGTGCATGTAGTCCTAGCTACTTGGGAGGCTGAAGCACAAGAATTGCTTGAACCCAGGAGGTGGAGGTTGCACTGAGCTGAGATCACACTACTGCACTCCAGTTTGGGCAACAGAGCAAGACTCTGTCTCCAAAAAAAAAAAAAAAAAAAAAATTTCCAGACACCAGCCCCAGTATGCTGGGCAGCTCACAACTGTACCAGCCTTGTTCCTTAAAGTCTTGAGCCTCTGGAAGGCAGTTTTCATCAACTGGCTAGTATCTGCTGCCTTTTGAGCATGACAGCTCCTAAGAGCCTTGAAGAAGCAGTGGAACCTTTTGGGGAGTGAGAGGTGAAAGCACTTACACAGATTTCTCAGGTGGGCACACACTTCTCCATGCTTAGTCAATGCACCGGTCATTTTTAGATGCATGTGTTGAGATGGACAGAACTTAGTTATGTCCCTTTTCTACCTTTCTTTCTAAAAGTTTATTATTAAGCATAGAGCCACATTAAAAATGTTTAATATTTTTATTCATTTTAATATGTTTAAACCATTAAATATAGTAATCATTTTTAATGTGGCCCTGTGCTTAATATGAATAATATCTTATATTTACTGATCATGTAGAATGTGTCTGGCCCAATGCTCTTGGTGCTTAATATGATATAATCTTGCAACGATTTTACAAGGTAGATGCTATTATTGCAGTTTTCAAGATCAAGACACCAAGACTCTAAGAGTAAGTAAGTTTGTACGAGATCACACCACTAGTGAGGGACAGAGCCAGGCTTCACTATAACACGTTAAGTAAACACACACACACACACACACACACACACACACACACACACACAGAGAGAGAGAGAGAGAGAGAGCAAGAGTGAGAAAGTGAGAGGTGGGAGGTGTTGAGTAAAGTGATGGAAGTGGTTAAATAAAACCTTTGGGTATAGAGTAATTTGACCTAGGTGGTGAATTGGAAGGGGTTTAGATGTGGTCTGAATAATTCCTTCTCTGAAGTCAACCACAATAACAGTTCATTTTTGGTTTCTCTGCCGACCGCGACTCACTGGTTACTTCCTTTTCCAGCAGTTGGAATTAAGTAACTGATATAAGGTGACATAAGAGTTAAAAGTAGATTATAGTGTTAGAATTTACAGTCTGAAAGTAAATGCCCTATCACTTGCCCACTGAGAGGGCTCTCTCCTGTGTTTCTGGGACACAGTATACACTGTTTTATTTCATGAGAGGGCACGGGCTTTGGTGTATGAAGGAAAGTCTGTCATTGTGTGCCAGTAAACACCAGATCATTTTAGAAAGTGGAATTGTTACAAAAAGCAAATGTGTGCCTCCAATTTAGGGTCTACTTCAGCTTTCCCTCAAATGCTTGTGGTTTTCTTAGTAAGTATATTTTTTCAATTGAAGAGGTTGGTCTGCAATTGTTGGAAATGAAAAGAAAAAGTAATTTATAGCAGAAAAGAATAGAGTTTCCTAAGTGGCATGTTGTGGTAACAGGGGATGCCATTGTTCCAGCTGAGTATTTTCTTACAAATGGAAGAGACCTTCATTGTTTTCCTGCTGGACCCAAATTTTAGCAACAGACGATGGAAAAGAGTTTTGGAGCACAGTTTTGAAGTTGCTGTAACTAAACATGCTAAGGCTCATGCCAGAGGATCTACAACTCTTGAAATGAAGTGACTGCTGCAATGAGTGACAACTTTAACTATCTCGGGTGTCGTCACAAGCTTTGGCATTAGCCACCTTGAGGGGTGCGTGTCTAGACCTTCAAAACAGTGAGATAGCTTTAGAGGGAAAATTAAACATAGGGAGATTCTGGTCACTGGGTATATTATACATAAGTAGGAATTCCTAAAAAAATGTTGGAATTGCTGGAGAAATTAAACTGGAATGTAGTATCAATGCTGAGAGACATTTGTCAGAAGAACTCAAGGCAAAAATAGCTGATGCTATAGCAAAAAGTTATGATTTATCATTTTTATGTAGCTCTCATACTGCAGGCCTGGTAAGTGGCCCATATTGCACCATTTTTTATAGGAATGTAGAACGAAGAAGATTGATTTCCTAAGTTATAAGTCACTGAGTCTTGCCTTGATTTTACAAAAAGTTAAATGGAGGACTTCATGGGAGATGAGAGAGATTTTTAGAGCATTCTCAGCTCTCTGGCTGCCTTCAGGAGACTCGAGCCAGATGAAGAGTGGTCATTTCTAGTTTCTTTACTTTCATTTTGAAAAATCAGGAAACAATTGGAGGAAAATGTGAGAATCACTAAATATGTTTTCTAGAATAAAACCAAAAAGACAATTAAGGAAATGGGATGAAGGGGTAAAATTCTGATCTCAGCGTTAAATCTAAGCTAACAGGCATGAGGCAAAGGGCAGAAATAAATAACCAGGTTTTATATGAGAAGAAACTAACAGGATGTTCTTGTGTTTAATAGTAGAAGCAGCAATTTCAGTATGTTAATCACTTACCTGGAAGGACAGAATAACCCCGATGAAAAAAACCAGCATGATTTTCCTGCTTAACCAAGTCACTTTCCTGGCTCAATTATAATGGCAGGGTTTTGGGGAAGAGACTTGTCAGTATATGGCAGTCCATGACAGAGCCGTCATCTGTGCCCCACTTATGAAATTTTGTTGAAATTCATTATCAAGTTCAAAATTGCCTTTTCTAGGCAAGCAAAGAGGCTGCTGGAGCCGAGCCATCCGTTCCTCCCGCGTTTACTGCAAGCCTAGTGCATTCACAGCCATGAACAGCACACTGAGGAAGACACAAAAGAAGTAGACAGAATCTCTGCCTCTGCTTAGGAGCATGCAATTTAGTTGGGGAGACAAAACTTAAAATGCTAGAACCAATAAAAGAAGATCACAAAGCAACTTGCAAGTAAGTGTGTAATAACATGGGGCAAATGACACAGATAAATGCAGAAGGGACAAGAGGGCAGAGAAGTGAGCAAAACACAACAGCATCAGATCAGTCCGGAAAGGCATGTTGCCTGAGAGTTGTATATCTTCCATGTTTCTTTCTTTAGCATCGATGAGGAATAATGTGGGGTAGGAAATTCAGATATATAACATTGATCTCTTCCTCCTTATCTGCAAAGTCTGTCCATCTGCCATGGATGGAAATTAAATTGATCCAACCATTTTCTCTCCACAAAGCCATGTTGGTTTCTACCTAGTAATTTATGCTTTCCTTGGTGTTTGCAAATCGATTGCTATTATGGGATGTAGACAAATCTGGGCCTGGATCCAGTAGGTTGGGGGGATTATTGGAGTGGGTATTTGTACTTATGTGTGAACTCCTGGAAGAGCAGACTCTCATTTCTGTGTATTTTAATCATTGAATAATAACATACTTTCAGGCTTTTAAATGCATGTTTAATTACACTCAGATTGCATTTTTGAGAGAATATATCTGCTTTATTTCATATTGCTACTGACAGGCCTCAGTATTTGCCTAACCTTCAAACCATCTTCAGTAGCTTTGTAGCCAGATCTTTTGTTTCAAAAAAACCTTGCTCTAGCCCAAGAAAACTGTAGATCAATACTTGTGTTTTTCTTTTGACATAGAAATATGTGTACGCATTCATTTACTTTGATAATTAAAATGTTTCTATCAAAAGGCTTGGGAAAGTATATTGTATTTAAGTGCTCAACTTCATTTATATACCTTAATTTTTTTTTTCAAGTTCTTTGAGGATTGCGAAATTCTTTCAAAACAAATTAAAAAGAAAACATTTTCTGTGATTTCTTTACAGATTCTGGACAATCAGGAAGTCCAAGCCACAATGATCCTGCCAAGAATCCTCCAGGTAAATATGTGTTCCAGGACATTTGCAATCTGACATTGTTGGAGAACAAAGGTACCACTGTATAGATAAACACCCCATAATTGGTCAGCCGCCTATTTTGTTCTGGCAGGCAGGTATGATCGGGACAAGATGTGATTGTGCTCAGGCCCTTTGCAGTGGCAAATACTTTTATATTGACGTCATCAGTATTGACCTAATCACCAATGTTTTAATTTTTGTTGGTGTTTCTTATGCATATATTTTATTTGTGTATCTTTTAGGTGCTAAGATAATTGCTGTTTGAAAAGCCAATGAACCTTTTAATCTTTCTTATAAAACTCATAAGAAAATGTAAAAATTTTCATATTCTAATTATAGTTTATCAATTCTCATTACTTTAAAAGGGAGTTGTTGGGGGTGGGAGTGGTTGGTTATGTTTTCACTGAAGGATTTTTGCAAGATTCCATAAGGTTTTTATTGGAGCTCCAGAATCAGGAAATAATGAAAGTAGGATATTTTTTTCTTTAGTATAAAGTATCCCAAATACCCTCTTTGTTTTTAGAAGTTGTTCCAGATCTGAAAATGGGCTTTTATAACTTGGCTGTCTTCATATGGCTCTGAACATATAGCATTTTGCTTTTGATTTAGGAGCAGTGGATTTTCTCATGAGATAAAACTAGCACAAAGAGTTTTTCATTATTAGAAAAATGTGAATTATATTGGTGACTTTAGTAAAAGAGTGCTCTAAGAATAAACTAACAAAAACCCTGAACCAGCTACAAGTGCCCTCTACCCCCAACAATCTCATCTGTCTTTTCATTGAAAATAAACCAAAAAGTTTATAGGAAGTAGTACAAAAACTTTCCTCAGGTAGACTTAGTTTTTAGGTCTTCCATTGTTTGATCTTTCTTGAAGTAGTGCTTTGCTAATGTGAGGCTGAAATAACAGAAGAACCCCAAAATTGCAAGAAAATATATCAGACCAGTTTTGTCTTAAAACAATTTTAGAAAGATACAGCAAGTAGATATACAAGTAAAAATGCAAAATCAAAACAGACGGTATTTTTCTGAGTCCTGTCTAATTTTGTTCTATTTTTAAAAAAGTATGTTTTTCCAAATACTTATTAATTTTTTCTGTATTATATAAAAATATATTATTGACAAAAGTAGTATATATTTCAAAAATAAAAAGTTCTAATTAAACGCAAGTTTAAAAATGTATACTAAGTTGATTTTTCATTTTCTTCATAAATCATTTAAATATTATTATACATTGAGAGCAAAACATTAAAAAACTGAATAATTTAAAACATAATTCCCATTTAAATTTTATTTTGCTGTGTGTGAATGGAGGATTGATATTATTTTAGTTATCTTTCCAAAAAGACTATTTCTCTATGTTGCATGATAGCCAAAATGAATTTTATCCAAACATTTTTAAAAGTTTCCTTACTCATCTTATAAAGAATGAAGTGGGACTGGAGGAGAATCTTAGGTAGAAAAATAGTTGATACCTATTATAAGATGGACTAAACAAAAGATATGCTTTTTTGCATTTGAATGAAAGCTTGATTTGAAACTAATATATCAGTTACTGTTTGAAGTACATTTCTGAACGTGTACAGAAGGAATTATACTCACCTAAAACTGTTCTCTACTTGAGCTGAATAAATAATCCTTGAATAGTTATGTAATATCAGAATTTGATTTTTCAATATTTGTCAAGAAGTTGGTTAAAATTTCCTTTTTGCTACATTCAGTGTAGCATCTCTTTCTCTGTTCGCATATAACATGGCAAACAGAAACAATCAAGGTAGAAAACCTCTCATTTTTTTCCCTGTAAAATTTTCCTCGGAACTCAAACCTTTCTGAGACTGTGTCCTGAAACTGGGTCACTACAGATAAATAGATTTTACAATTAGTTGAAAATTGTATATATGTAAATCATATATTGATTCTAGTTTTTAGAGGCAGAATGCAATAAAATACACATAATACTCAACTTAAATGGAATATAATTAGAACTGTATTTGATTATTTAGAATGTAAAATACTCATTTTAATATGCTTTGTGTTTTATTATACTACGAACTCAACCATAAAGTTTATTAAGGAATTCTATTTCGGACATAACCATAGAGATTATTAAAGAATTTTTTATGAACTTAAGGGTTTGTTTTGTAATACTTTGAAATAAATTTAAAAACTTAGAATATAAAATGTTTTCTAATTTTAAATGTGAACAATTAGAACTTATTAAGTTTTTTGTATGGTAGTCAATTGGAATAAATTATGCTTTCTATTAAAAGCTTATTTCATAAGTGTCTTTGGTATTTTGGACATAATTTATCTTTAGGAAGTTCTTTTAATCTCTATATTCTGGCCTTGGCCAAAATATGAAATCTCCAAAATTGAGATTCAGTATCCTAAGAAGGCACAATCCGTATATGAAAAAATTGAATCTACTGCCACAAGCAATGAAACAAGCAAATCACTTTTCTGCTTCAATTGTTATACCAAAGACAAGCTAAGCATTTGGAAAAAATCACCTTGATTGCCAACACTTTCTTATCACTGGTAGTTTTCTACTGGGAGATGTGCAACCCATGGAAATTGCTACCATCTATTCCTGTGTTTATTTCCCAACAGCTTGGGAAGAGATGGCAAAAATTCAAGCCCTTTTGGAGATACAGGCTCTTTGAAATCTGTTTCCCACTGTTGACATGAAGGTGGAATCCCATCCAGTCATCCTATCAGTACAGATGCATATGCCTACCCACAAACTTAACACTCCCTCTGGCTTGGCTTTTCTCCAGCATCAGACTTGACTGTCTGACTTTGAGACTACTTCCTTGCTGATTTAGAACTTCTGAAGGGTGACCCTAAAGCTCTTCAAACTGTAGTATGGACATCTACAGATAGACCAGTAGTTCTTAACTTGAGTTTCTCTATTGGAATTAGTATGTAAGCACAAGCAATAAAAGCAACAGATTTTCGAAAGGAGGATGTTTGATATTATTTTATAAAATATTTAAGTAGTTTTTTTTGTCATTTTTATAGAGCTTTTAAATAGTCTTTATGGTATTTCTTTAAACTATTCATGAATTAACATTTTGTTTGCATTCTTCACTGCATGGTAGGGATGGCCACCATAATCTTTTCAGAATGAAGGTGCTCTAAAGTCAGATAGCACCCAAGGACATGGCATTGTAATTTTGGCTGAGAAGCACTAAGCACTTCATTTTTCTAGGGATACACATTTGCCTTATTGATGATAGAGTCAGAAGTTACATATTTGAATTCAATTACTTCTTTTGTTTTTATGACAAGTTAATCCCTCCTGAGCAATAGAACTGAAAATGTCCTCTCTCCACTGTAGCAAACAACTCTTGTGGACCAACTGAGGATAAACCATTAATTTTGGGACTTAGACATGGATCTATTTTTTACCTTTAATAATTAAAAACTCCACTGCTACTTTTAGGAAATGTGTGATTGATTGGATTGCATTGTTTTGAAATTAGCTTTGACTTGCTTTGTTATTTTGTGTGTCTACATTCCCTGGGCTATGATCTTTATGATTTCCCAATCTCAATCACTTCCCTAATGCTAGAATGGGTAATATCCAAGGAAAACATGGCAATCTGGAATTCAGATTTTTGCTTCTAAGTCAGTTCCAAACTAATGTCTCATTTTGGAATTCAGGAAGGCTGAATTTGTGGGGAACTCTAGGCTGGTAATATGACAAAGAAATGTTAAGTCCTAGGGTAGTTTTTGCTAATTTTGTGATACAAACTTTTGGGGCATATCTAGTTCTAGTAGAACTTTCTTACCTGGAGGAACATGGATTTAACATGCTACTTTCCTCTGTTGCAGGTTTTATATGTGCTTGTGCTATTTTGTGTGGTGATTTATGCGTGTAGTATGGCAACACCTCTGGGAACCAATAGGATTATATATATTGGCTGTACCTCAAATAAGTCACCTCATATCCTCTCTGGAACAAGGATGACACTAAATAAATAATTGAGTAAACCAAAGAAGGCTTATCTGTTAACGATAGCTATGTGCTTATCTTGCACTTAAGAAATTCTTTAAGTCATAAAAATTTTGAGATAGCTCTGTCTCCGATGTTATTTTATAGATACTGAAATTGAAGCCAACAGAGGGTTGTCATAAAACTAATAGAAACCAACCAAATAATTATTAAGAAAACAAGTTCAAAATCTGCAGTATTTGTTTTCATCTGTTGGGATCACTAGAGCTGATATTTGCTTGATTTTTCACTTTGTTTTTTCAAATCTTAAGAATTTAGGACAAACTTAGTACTTTGAAATCTGTACATAAAGGCAGATAAATGTATATAGGACCTTGAGGACCTCATACCACCTTTTATCTTAGAATATGGTGTTCAAAGTCAAAGAAAAGAGAAAATTTACTCTGCCTTTTTCAAATCATAATTCATTCACTTTTTTTTTTTGAGCTGGAGTCTCACTCTGTTGCCCAGGCTGGAGTGCAGTGGCACGATCTTGGCTCACTGCAACCTCTGCATCCTGGGTTCAAGCAATTCCCCTGTCTCAGGCTTCCAAGTAGCTGGAATTAGAGGCATGCGCCACCACACCTGGCTAATTTTTGTTCGTTTAATAAAGACAGAGTTTCCCCATGTTGGCCAGGCTGGTCTCGAACTCCCAACCTCAGGTGGTCCACCTGTCTTGGCCTCCCAAAGTGCTGGGATTACAGGTGTGAGCTACCACGCCTGGCCTCTCATTCACTTCTTAGTAAATTCATGTCTATTCCTTGTCATGTCCTCATATATTCTGTCCATTAGAATCAAAATGTTTTTAATGGAGAAAAATGCACTATTTCATGATACTTAAAAGGTAATTTTAAACTTTGGCACTACACAATATGCATTCGACTATAAAGAGGCTCTCTATTCCTAAAAATATATATAGGAAGACACTGAAAAGACTGGTTAACAGTGGATAAGACCTAACATCGTAGGTAAAGCCTTGAAGTAAT